TTTGTCTACTTAGGAAGATTGGCTGCCATGTTAGCATCCTCTTGTTTTTCATTTCCTGTTGTCTCAGTACACATTTTGTCCCTGGCTCTCAGCATAAAGACCTTTAGTTTTTTTGTGTAAAAAAAAAAACAGAACCTTACGGCTCTGGCTCCATGTCCATTCTGGGGAGAGATTCAATCGCTTGGCATACTGCCCTTTTATCTGCAATGGGTATCAACTTTCAAGGAATGTTCTCATCAATTCTGGAATGCGACCCCTGCAATCTGCTTTGAGCAGAGTAACCTCTTGAACTGTTAGGAGCAAGAGATGCGAAGTGAATCTGTCCCATTTTTGATCGGCAACCATCTGTTTTACCGAAGGGTTGTGCATTGATAGTTAGTGCCATCCATCATCTGACCTTTGCAATTGACAATTCCACTACCAGTGGTGAGTACTGTTATGATCCTGGCCAATTTCGAAATACACATCCATCAGAACGTACAATTCCGTCCTATTGCAAAAAGTAATGAATGAACTTGAGAGGAGAGAGGGTTAGAAGAAGAAGAAGAAGAAGAAGAAGAAGAAGAAGAAGAAGAAGAAGAAGAAGAAGGAAAGAAGAAGAAAGAAAGAAAGAAGAAGAAAGAAAGTACGAAGAAGAAGATGGTGTACACCAGCATAGACAACTTCGCCAACCACTCTCCTCCTTATCTCCTCCTCTCTTATTCACACAAGAAATAATCTCTTCTCTATACCTTATAAAAACTGCAACGGGCCCACCGTAACGGCAGACGCCGGGCCCAGCGGGAACTGCACGACGGGAACGAGGTGAGGAGGCAGCCCCGCGGCGCAGGCAAGTTCGAGGCAGTCCCATTCGGGCGGGGTGTCGCGGCACGCGGCGCTTTGGAGGCGGTCCCATTCGGGTGGGGTCTCGCGGCGCGTGTCGTTTCGACGCGTTCGGCCAGCGTCCCGCGGGCGGCCGCGTCGCGTGTTGTTTCGCCGTGCGCGCGGCATTGGTTTGACGCCGGCCGGCACACACACACACACACACACACACACACACACACACACACACACACACACACACGAACGATTCATTCCGATTTTGCTATCCTATCGATGGAAGTAGCATGACACGAGCCACGAGGTTGGAGATTTATCGGCTCTCTCTCTCTCTCTCACACACACACACACACACACGCACACACACACACAAAATAAAAAAGTGGCAATGTATATTTCCGCATTTCAGCGGATATTCATTTCGATTTTGCTCATGCTATCGATGGAATGTGTGTGTGTGTGTGTGTGTGTGTGTGTGTGTGTGTGTGTGTGTGTGTGTGTG